TCAGCGAAGAGACCAGGAATCCAGTGGCCACCCCACAAAACTACAGAGTTCTATGTCTGAGATCGGAGAACTGGTCTAGAGGATAACATTCTCTGCAACACTACACAGATTTAGCCTCTGTAGGAGGGTGGACTGGAGTTTGCAAGAAGACTTCTGGCTGACCATGAGACCATGTGGCAAAAGAGCATCTGTTCTGATTAAACAAAAATTGAGCTCTCTGGTCTGAATGCAAAGATCTATACTTAAAACAAACTGAACACAGCTCATAAACATCATCCCTACCAAAAAGCATAACGTTAGCAGCATCATCTTATAGGGCAGGGGCTGTGACACTTTTCAGGACCGAGCCAAATAGAGGTAGATCTTTGAAGAGAGCAAAAAAACCTTAGACTGTGGCCAAAAGATTCATATTCCAAAAGAACAATGTACCAGGCATACAGCCAAAGTGACACAAAGAGGAGCTTCAGATTAAGGAGATTCATTGATGCTCCCCTTCCAACTTAACAAAGCTTGCGCAAATCTGCAAGGAAAAATGGGAGAAAATCTCCAAATCCAGATGTGCAGAGCTGATACAGACAAACTGTAAAAACAGTAAGAAGACAACCACTGTAACTGTCACAAAAGGTCTTTCTACAAAGTATTGACTTACTGTAGGGGGGTGACTTTGTAAACATTTTTTTTTTCATTTTTCCTAATTGTTACATAATATTAATATATTCCCCTTTAAATTGTTGCATATGTTGTGTGAAGCAAGGGTATTGGAATTTCTTGCAATAACACAACCATATTTACAGTCTTCAGGAGGAGAGAATATTTCCTGAAGGCACTGCAGTTCTCTCTGTGGTATATTACTACAGCTACAGAATATGACATGATGTCCAGGGTAAACTATCACATAAACATCATATGAAGGGAATAGCTATTCCCAAGCAATCACTGATTTCATGTTCTAATATACTGAACCTGTGTTGACAACAGCAATAGTCCCGTGTACCTGCCAGGCAGGTAGATCACTACATTAATTACAGGACCAGGTTATTAAAACATACAAATGCAATAAGCTTGTATTACTACAGGTTAAATATCTCAGGAATATCACAAGGGGACTGGATATGCATTTGAGATTAGCTGTTAAAAAATTGGTAAGTTGTTTAGCAGCACTTGTAAGCTGTTACAATTAAAAGTTAGTTTATTGCTGTGCATTCACAGGTAGGAATAGACTGCCTGATGTTCTGGTCAGTAACAGAATCTCAGCAAACATCATGTGTATGTTATGAATAAGACAAGGAGACAGATGCACTGTAATAACTGGGAAATGTGCAGCACTGTTGTAAACATTAACCACATATTTATGTTTTCATTTTTATTGAAATGGATATCCCAGAAGAGGTCTTCAGACGTGTTGATTTTCTGTTTGAAGCTAAAAATAAATAAACATAGATGCAAGGGATATCTTATTGTACCTCAGTGACAGACATTGGTTATTGTTTAATCTGTGAATAGGGTAACAAATGAAATAAAAATTCATTGTCCTGATGAGACTAAAGAATTACGCTTTAATATAGCCACCTCCAATTAAATTATCTGTCACCCGAGCAATCACCTTTCTCAATGAAACACATTTGTGTTTGCTTCTTCTAAGAGAAATTATTGTTTTCTTCATGATCACTATCTGACAATATCTTAGTTAATTCTCTGAAAGAGTGACTGAAATTCAAGTTCGAGGAATAACATTAAAAACTCAACATGTTTTACCTTGATATGCCTTGAAAGAAAGACTAAACATTAGTGGAAAGATTAAGATCTCTGATTCTTGCAAACAGTCATTCTTGTAATAACCAGATACAGTATATCCTTTCAGTATTAACTGTGGGTGTAATTCACCTACACTAAAGATGCTGTATTCCTCTGTGCGGTCCAACAATTTGTCTAGATGATAGAGTGAACGGCTGGCAGCGTGCCAAGGTAGAAATTCTTTCTCTTGAGGAAGGTAGCATATAATCTCAAGAGGGATGTTCTGGGGTAGGTAACCAGCTCTGAAAGGACACATAAGAACAAGATTATTCAACACATTACTAAAACAATGCGGAAAAATATTCTCTCCCAGAACACAAAATGCTGGCTTGCATATACAGTAATTCCAGATAAAACTTTAGAGCCAAGAGCTGTTTCAAAATGTGAGGCCTCAAAAGGAACATAGTTTCTTAAAGGATATTAAAGGGCTTTTATGACTTCTTTTTCACACCACATATTTCATATATGTTAAAACCCAAACGTTTTTTAAATGGACATTACTATTGTATACTTTCAAAGCACTTTGAGTAGTTTAGTAGGTGAATTGCTATTTGTAATTAATTCAAAACTGGGATTGAAAATAAGCATTGATTGACATAAAAAAATGCAAAACAATTTGTATAAGTAAATGATATACTGTATATTGTTTGGGTGGTTACAAAAATTGAGAAAATGAAGAACTGACCAAGCAGATAAATCAATTAGTAAAATACATAATCATAACCCCCAATTTGTAAAAGATTTTGACAAGAATATACTTGAGCAGATGGTATGATTAGAGGCATATTAATTATTTGTTCTCTGGGACAGCTTCGGTGAAAACAGTCATAATTCAAGCCAGTGGGCTGACTGCCATTTCTTACACCCGAAGAAGGCTCCACAGCCGAAATGTTGGCTGATGATGAGGTTCATGGAGTGAACCTATTACTTGTTCCTTTGCATCCTACGCGTGTTGACACAGCTACCCACCAGAATATAATAGATATATATTTACATGTAGTCATATCTTGTTGATACTGTACCTTAAGGAACTTCTCATTTACTAGTATTTTCACCTTTTAGCTTCACTTAACCCAAAAACAGTCTCATTACATGAGTAGTAATGAGAAATTACCTTGTCATTAACCCATACACTTTCACTTACAGAGGTAGATGGCCGAGGAAAACAACAGCTGTATGTGTCATTTGGTCATACAGTATTCAATATGTTATAGATTACTAAAACTATAATGATGATGATCATAATGTTATATGGCTCAGGGGTATTCAAATATTTAAATTTCCTGTCAAAACCACCCCATTTCTAAAGATAAAAATGAGCAACTTTGCAGAATATCTGAGCAAACTTTTAACCTTCTCTATTTGCACAAGTAATCAATTGATTGCTATTTTATTTTCATCATGTATGCACTGTATCTTAGAAGTCTATCTCACTCACTGATGACCCATTTTTTAGGACTCTTAGGATTATTTAAGTCTAATACTAACACTGATGCTAATAATATATTTTATTTATAAAGCACCTTTTCAAACCCACGGATGCTGCGCATAGTGATAAAAAGGACAAAAAAGTACAAAGAAGCAAAATTAAAAAATAAACAGAGCAGACAGGTTTATTCAAATAGAATGTAAGGCAACCAAACACAGACACTGGTAAAAAAGAAAGAGTTTTTAGTTTTGTTCTGAAGAGTGTCAATAATTTGTCTCTTGTAGAATCTAAGGAGGGTCATTCCGTGACACTAGATCAGCTATAAAAAGGCAGTCACCAAAAGTCCAGAATTCGTTTTTGGTACAGTGAGTGTAAACATGGAGGATCTACTGACTTGTTTCTTTTTTCAAATTTTATACATGTATGTTTTTATTTGTTAATGGATTCATGTTGTGTTAAATGTATTATGTATTGTGTACATCTTTTTACCTGTCTGGCAAAGAAGCTTTTTTCCTTCTGGTACAACAGGAAACAAGTAAGACCAGAATCTGAACAGTTACTTTGAGCACTAAGGAGACTGGACTCCAGCATTTAAGACTGGAACTTTCTATAACTTATCTGATAAAATTATATTCTGAGGAATTACTGATTTCCTATTTTATGTTAGCCTTAAGGCTAAATTAAATCTCTCACTGTATATGGATTATTTGTTTTGAACAGAGAAATAAGTTCCCATTCATTTGTCAAATATTTTAAGGTCCTGAATAGGATCGTTTTGATAGGACATAGATTCCTTCCCTATTTTTTCCCTACATGTCATTCACTCGCGGGGAGTCTTCTGTGTTTTCTGTACCTGCCAGACAGGACTTTGGAACTCACAGGTCTGTAAATATCTGTACTGTACATACTTTAGCTGTAAATGTTGTGTGTGTCTCTAACTGTAAATAGATATCAGTTTTCTATCATTATAGATATAAGTAAACATCTGAAAATAAATATTTGTACCTTTTACAGTATGTTTTCTTCCTTGTTATTATTTTGTTACCAAGATGTATTGGAAAAACAAACGTGCCATGTGATGCTCAGTTTTTGCTGACAATAAGGGGTGTATGATCGTTAATTTTCCTAAATTTTCTTGCATAGCAATTCTTATTATTTTGTAATTTTTTAAAATAATTTTTAACATCCCCAATTAATTACAACAATAATAATAATTAGAAATCCTCTAAAATGGAGCATACAGTGTGAAGCATCTCAACTACCCAGCTAAGCACAGAGTTAAAACGAAAGATTTTTTAAACCAGATGTCTTTAATGCTGCAGCTGCATTCTTAAACCTGGCAAGTGTTCAATGCATTTTCAGCATTCTACCAATAGTATTTTTTGCATTTACTGTGCCTGAAGCATTTGTACTAGATGGTGTTTTTTCTCCCTTTCCTGACATTTTCTCTTTAAATTATTCAGCTTTTGATGAGGAAGAGATCACTGAAAGAAAAAAATTACCATATTGGTTTCATGGTCATTAAAGTGTTCACTGGCAGTGAATGAGTTCATTAAGAATGTGAGACTTTGTAACTTATGTGAAGACATGCTACACTGAAGGAAATACAACACAATCCAAAAGTTACACCTTTTCCCGTATATATTTATGTAAAATACATACCCAAGGAAAAAAAAATCACGTGTCCGAGAGGTTATTGTATTCTCAGTTGTGCGATTTTTAAGACTGTGTTTTTCATATAGACCAAACTATGTACAGTATGTGAAACAACTATATATCTAAAGCACATTTTAAAACATTAAGTCACATTTCTATAAATCAAATTGTATTTACAATAAATCTGTGTAACGATGCATAGGTCAGGACTCTACAGTATGCAGATGGTAAAATCCGGAAGAGACTGGAGAAGGGCAACAGGTTAACACGACAGGATCAGGATGTGATGACTGAAAGGGGGGAGTGGCAGCAGTGTTCCGGTGCTTGGGGGGTGTGGCACAGGTGAACAAGTCTAAAACTATCCAGAAGGGGAAACCAGGAAGCAGTCCACAAGTCCATAGCTGGTAGATCCATCCAAAACATACTGGTGTTGTCACATATCAACTCCTCCATCACAGAGTCCCTGGACCCCTTGCAGTTCGCCTACCAGAACAACAGATCAGTGGATGATGCTGTCTCCCTGGCTCTGCATACAGCCTTGGAACACCTGGACACTAAGAACCCGTATGTGAGAATGCTGTTTGTGGACTACAGTTCAGCATTCAATTCCATCGTACCCAGTCAACTGGTGACAAAGCTCAGGGGATTAGGTCTGTGCACCTCTGTCTGCAACTGGCAACTGGACTTTCTTATCAAGAGACCACAGGTGGTGCGGATAGGCAATAAAACATCAACACCACTCACCCTGAGCACTGGAACCCCACAAGGCTGCTGTCTGAGTCCAAGGCTGTACTCCCTATTCACTCACGACTGCACAGCAAGACACAGCAACAACCGCATCATTAAGTTTGCAGATGACACCACTATAATAGGACTGATCAGTGATGATGACAAGTCCACTTACAGGGATGAAGTCGTACAGCTGCTTAGGTGGTGTTATAGCAATAACCTGGACTTGAACGTAAAGAAAACGAAAGAGCTAATAGTGGACTTTCGGGGACACAGGCCACACACTCACAGCCCACTCAGTATTGATGGAACGCAAGTGGAAACAGTCACCAGCTTTAGGTTTTTGGGAATTCACATCTCTAAAGATCTAACCTGGACTGTGAACACTGACTCTATCATGAAGAAGGCTCAGCAGCACCTTTATTTTTTGAGATGCCTCAAGCGATGGGGGATGCCAATACATGTGTTGGTGAACTCCTTCCACTGCACCATCGAGAGCATCCTCACCAACGGGATCACCGTGTGGTATGGCAACACCTCTTCGCGAGAAAGAAAGGCAATGCAGAGAATGGTCAATATGGCCCAGAAGATCATCGGCTGCGGTCTCACCGAGATTAAACAGCTCTATGAGGACCGCTGCCGTGGTAGAATTCTGGCAGAGGACAGTCACCACCCTGAGCATGAGCTCTTCACCCCACTGCCCTCAGGCAAGAGATATAAGAGCATAAGGACACTTAACACTAGATTCTTCAATAGCTTCTATCCACAAGCAGTGAGAGTGGCGAACACATTTAGCCACCCCCCTCGGACCACACCTACACCATCACCATCTACCTCTTTATGATTTATTATCTATTGCACATCTCCAGTCATTGTTTACACGTCTGTATTGTTTACATTCAAACTGTCTACATGTTTACTTGCACATTGTCTACTGTTTGTTTATATATTGTCTTGATGCACTGTTTGCACTTTGTTTTGTTTTTTACGCTTGTTTTACAATCGAGAGACTTTCTGTAAGTAAGAATTCCATTATACCAATACCGGTTACATATGGCAATAAAGTTCAAGTTCAAGTTCAACAAGGATAAAAACCGGAATGGGAGCGGGAATAAAAACGGGATCACAAGGCCAGGCGCTCTGAGTCCCGGACTCAGCTGGGTCAGAGCCGGAGCGCCCTTAAGAGATTACGATTACGTTAAGATTACTATCGTGACAGTACCCTTCCTTTCCAGGGCTGCTCCGAAGCCCTAAACAAAAAAGTCTAAGGGAAAAAAAAAACAATGGAGTCCTGTACGTCCGGACTACCATCTACAGAGTCCTTGTTGTGGCTCTGCATGATGTAACGATGTGTAGATCAGGACCATATGCAGACGGTAAAATCCAGAAGAGACTGGAGAAGGGCAACAGGTAAACACGACAGGATCA